TTATGCTCAGTGAAATAAGCCAGGCGGAGAAAGACAAATACCAAATGATTTCACTCATATGTGGAATATAAGAGCAAAGAAGAAACTGAGGGAACAAAACAGCAGCAGACTCACAGAACCCAAGAATGGACTAACAGTTACCAAAGGGAAAGGGATTGGGGAGGATGGGTGGGAAGGGAGGGTTAAGGGGGGTGGGGAGAAAGGGGGCCTTACGATTAGCATGTATAATGTAGGGGGAGCACGGGGAGGGAAGACAAGTAGTGATTCTACAGCATCTTACTACGCTGATGGACAGTGACTGTGATGGGGTATGTAGGGGGACTTGGTGTTGGGGGAGTCTGGTAAACAATGTTCCTCATGTAATTGTAGATAAATGATACCAAAAAATAATAATAAATAAAAATAATAAGAAAAATAAATGCCCCAGAAGTTCATGTAGTTGGAAAACATATAATTACCTGAGAATGTAACTCCATCTTATATACTCAATTTTTATGAATTAAGTTTCTCTTAATTTAGTTTCTTAATTGAAGTTGTGTTTGGAAATTTATCAAGAGTTAATCATTTTGGAAAATCCATCCCATCAACAGTAGTGCCATTGTGCTATTTGATTTGCCAAAACAACTTGTCTTTAGAAGATCTGAATTTATAGCTGTCATATTTATAATGATCCTATATATAAGTTCAAACATCTAACTTCTTTATTATACTTTCTAAATTTGTTGACATGCCTGAGTATTTTTATTGAAATACATACTGTATTATATATTAATCTTTTTATATTATAGTTAGGGCATTGTTAAATTTTTAAAAATATGTGTAAGTTGAACTTTGTTTCAGGATAGCTAGCTCCATGATTTAAACAATTTGTTGCAAAAATGAAACAAAAATGGTATGTTTCATCTGATAGAGCTGAGAGCTGCTTACTGATTATGTACTACTTGTTTTTGTATCTGTAGGGCTTTGTGCATACCAGTAGATAACAGTGTGTGTTAAATTGGTCAATTTGTGGTTGCCAGATTGCTTTTATGTACCCTTGCATTTGATTATATAAGGAGTCTGTAAAAGTTAGCAAGGTATTGTTCCCATTTTATAGATGGGAGAACTGAAAAACATGTTAACTTGCTCAGTCATGCTGTTAGAGCTTTAATTAGAACATGTAATTTTATTTACACCAGTCTAGTCATCCTTGTTCCATACCACTCTTTAAAAAATTATAATCAAGAGCTATTCAATGTTGGAAAACATCTGTATACTCCTGCTGGTATTATCTTTATACAAGGAACTTTTATGTTTTAGGCACTTGTGCTCACAGGAATACAACAAAGACAAAAACATGAGAAAGCTGTGTTTGTTAAGCAAGGACATTTTTGTTAGTTTTCAAACAAATGTGCAATTTAAACAGTTCCTAATATACTATTAGGCCCCCAGATATCTTAAACTTTAGAAATTGTAACATCTGATGGTGAGATTGTGGTAACATAATTACACTCAAAGACCTTAATTACCTTATTAATTGTTATATATCTTTTGGAATGTAATGCCAGAAAATGAGTTCAACAACAGAAGCATTTACACTCTTCAAAATTTATTGCAAGGAAATACCCAGAATAAAAAAGCTGTAGTTAATCCACAGACATTTGCCTCATGTATGTATATGTCAGGAACTGTGCATGGTACATTTCTGAGATGAGAAAGTGTTGCTGTTTTCTTGAACTTGTAGATTTGTGGCAACAGTGTGAGACAAACACACAATGAAAAACTGTGATATAATGTTATTGTAATTGGAGTGTGTTTTTAATTTGAGGGAACAGATCAAGTAACATACCAGGGAACAAACAGTGAACACACTGGGGGAAGTAATTCTCCTCCAGGACCCGGGGGAGAAGAGACAGTATATTAGGGAAAACTCTTGGAGAAATTCAGACATCGTAAATTGCACTTTGAAGGATTAAATTTTGAAGAAATTTAGATTGTAAGATTGGCATTCACTGATTTTAAATTGTTGGTTGGTTTTCTTGGGCCAGATTTTAGATGAAGATGTTTTGTTTGGCATACATAGTAGTTTCATTTCTTCTATCTTCCTTCCTCCTCCTCCTCCACAAATAAGTTACTGATACTTAAAAATGGGATTTCACATATATAAATGGTCACTGAAGATCTGGCAGCAGTGGCCTCACATTCTGAAATGCCATTTCTGCCATGAGTAGAAGCTTCACACTTGAGATGGACATGCACTTGTACTCCCTAGTACTTTTCTTTATACCTGGCATATTTTATTCATTCATATCAGTTGCCTGGCTCCTATATGCCTTTGAATTGTTAGTCCTGGATGAGTGGTTTATTTCTGTTCCTGCCCTCCACAATTTTCTTTGACAAGTTTTAATAGGAGAAAATGCAGAAAAATGAAATTATTCTAGGAAAATCTTTTAAAATAATTAAATGTTTTAGTATTTGTACAATAGCTGCTTTTTACTGAGCATTATGTGCTAGGCACTTCATATAGATTTCTTCTTCAAGCTCTATATACCTTTCTTTTAATCCAGGTTCAGAGATGTTAAGAACCTTAATTTGTCCAACTACTTAGTTAGTGTAAGAGCTGGGATTCTGATCTGGATCTCTGACTCCACAACCCCCTGTGCAGGTAATCTTTGGTTATCTAGAAGGTATACCTTCAACATGTATTTGTTAAGTATAGGCAAGTAGGTAAGTATTCAAGGGTGTAAGACAAACTGCTTCTTCTCTGCATGGAGTTTATAATTAGTTGAGGATACAGGCATTTATGTAACATGGAAAACAGTAGAACAGAGCACATGTTAAATACCACGTGATTGATAAAAATGCTATGGAGGCCCAAAACTACAGCAGTGTCCTAGAGAAGAAAAAGGAGGAGACTAATAAAAATGACTAAGGTGTAGAATAATCTAATTTTGTGAGAGAAGAAAGCGAGAGGTAGGTCAAAGATAATTTACCAAGCTTCTAATGCTGGGTAATTGAGTGGGATTTACAAGTGGTAGTTACAAATAATGGTCATCAGAAGAGGAATAGGTTTTGGTAGAGATTGATGAGTTAGTTTGGTGAAATTGCTGGGTCATATGGAAACACTGTGTTTAAATTTTGAAGAATTGTCAAGCTGCTTTCAAAAGCAGCTGCATCATTTTGTGATCCCACCAGCAGTGTATAAGGGTGCCATTTTCACCATTTCCTCATCAGTACTTACTATTGTCTATCCCTTTGATTTATCCAAGCTAGTGGGTGTGCAGTGCTATCTCTTTGTGGTTTTGATTTTCATTTCCCTAATGATGATTGATGTTGAGCATCTTTCGTGTGCTTATTGACCATGCTTCTTTAGCGAAATGAGTATTACAATCCTTTGCCCATTATTAAATTATTCTCTTTTAAAATTATTATCAGTGATCTCTTTTAACAAAGATGGGTGTTTTTAACTGATAAACAATAGTTGGTACCAGATGATAGTGAATTTTTCATGTGTTATCAGTGGTAGACTTTTAGACTTAACTAGTTGTTAATATTTTAAAGTGCTCATCTTCATAGAGTAATCCTTTCAAAAATTGCTGTTAAAATTTTACTTTAGGGTGATTAGTACAGTCAATAAGATGACTGAGCATGCCTCTATAATATTGAGAAAACCTAAGTTTAATATTTTTGGAGTGTCAAAAACAGTAACATTTTAATAAAGACATTTAAGACTCTAAGCACCAAATTTTAATTATGTACATTGAGTCTTTGACTTAACTTGAGCAATTCCATCTTCTCCCAAGTAATTGAATCTACTTTGTGAAATGTAGATTTTAATATCTTTCTCTCATTTTTTTTAGGTTGTCCTGAATTCCACATGTCTAACAATTTTTCTTGCAACGTTAGCTGTTGTTTTCCACTGCCTCCGAGATCAAAATTGCTCCGGAAATTGGAGAGTATTTGACTTAAAAGAGAAAACTTTAACAAATGGACAATATGTCTATCACAAATACCCCAACAAGTAATGATGCCTGTTTGAGCATTGTACATAGTTTGATGTGCCATAGACAAGGCGGAGAGAGTGAAACATTTGCAAAAAGAGCAATTGAAAGTTTGGTAAAGAAGCTGAAGGAGAAAAAAGATGAATTGGATTCTTTAATAACAGCTATAACTACAAATGGAGCTCATCCTAGCAAGTGTGTTACCATACAGAGAACATTGGATGGAAGGCTTCAGGTTAGTCTTGTACCAGAGTTTTTCTGTATCTTCTGTAGTGGCAGATTTTTAAAGATTTTGTGTCCTCTTAAGTTACTGTTGGATAATTGTTTGCTCCATCTTTTCAGATACTGTATATCCTGTATCAGTACACATGAGAATAGATGGAAGAATATGCTTTCCTATAATAATATACATTTATCTTAAAAGTTTTTAATGTTCTGACTAAAAAAGGTTCAGTGTAGAACATAAAAATAAAAAGCAGAAGAAAACCCACACCTTTAGCACTTTAGTATTCTTACTTGTAGACTTTTTTTTTTCTTTCTTGGTATCATATTATGTTTTAAAAACTGAGTTAGGCTTGGTCCTTTTGAGACAGGGACCGTGGGCTTAGAGTAGAGTGAGGGCCTCTGGAAAAAACAAAGCAAGATAATCCATGGTGGGATTTGCTTTGGCCTGCTGGGGGGGCCCAGTTTATTTTTCTGACTTTACCCAGATGCTGCTTTTCTTCCTCCAGCCCTAGTCAAGTGATTTGCCACCTGGGCAATTTAACAAGCAAACCCAAAACAAACAGGAAGGATTCCATCTTGAAAATAAGATTTTAAAACTCAATTTGTTAAAAAGTAACTTTCTTCTGTCCATCAACATAGTAAGATGCTGTAAAATCACTACTTTTCTTCTCTGTATTGCACAGCCCTCCCCGTGCCCCCCCCCCCACTATACATGTTAATCGTAATGCCCCCTTTCTTTTTTCCCACCCTTATCCCTCCCTTCCCACCGGTCCTCCCCAGTCCCTTTCCTTTTGAAAAAAAGAAAAAAAAAAAAGTAACTTTCTTAACATACCCTTTAACAAACAGACAATAACTCAGCCTACCTTTGGAGCAAAGCAGGCAGTCTTAAGTGATATGCTCCCAGACCAGGAAGCTGCTATCCTGGGAGGAAACCAGAGCAGTGAATTTCTTGTAAATAACCAGGAAGACTAATAAGAAACTTACTGTCTCTTCAAAGATAAACAGTTTGGGACCACTTAGCAGGTGTATAGCCCTTTGTCTCTCAACTGCCTATAAACGCTCCCCCCGACCCCCCACCGGACTCTCCTCACCTCCTGGCATGAGCCAGGAGCTCTGTCCTCTTGCTTTCTATCTCTGAATAAAAGCCTCTGCCTTGCTCTCCTCCCTCGAGTGTTCGCGAACTTTATTCTTTGGCTCTGCAAACAAGAACCCAGCATCACTTTTGTAATGTAGAGATCTGATATTGTATGTTTGGTACTTACATATGAAAAATAATCTGGAACTATTCAAGCGTACCTTAAAAACTTGAGGAAAAACTTATATTTTACAAATTTTCATTTTCACTGATCACATTTTTCTCATAGAACTACGTATCTCCTGTAGTAAGAGTACATTAGATGTAAAAATTTCATTTCTAGATTTTAGGCATGGCTACTACAACAAACTCACACTTCTTTTGTATTTTTAAAACCTGACCATGGGCCATGAAATCATACCTAAATTAACTGCCTTGTTACCATGGCCAGGTAAGTTTTGATTTTCTCATTTATAAAATGGGGATTATAATACTGATTTGTGGATTGTAAGCATTAAATGAGATATATAAAGTGCCTTGTGTGATTGTGTGTCACGTTTGCTCAATAAACGTTCATTTATTTTTCCTAGGTGGCTGGTCGGAAAGGATTTCCTCATGTGATCTATGCCCGACTTTGGAGGTGGCCTGATCTTCACAAAAACGAACTAAAACATGTTAAATATTGTCAGTATGCATTTGACTTAAAGTGTGATAGTGTCTGTGTGAATCCTTATCACTATGAACGAGTTGTATCACCTGGAATTGGTAAGTAGACTTTGATTTTACCCTTAGAAGCACAAAGGGAAAAGATCTCAGTAGTGTTTTAATTTTTCGAAGTTAAATTCTAAGTTTGGAGATAGCCACCACTTCAGCCAAGGTTAAAGAATTAGTCATTTTAAATTTAAGAAATACAGATATTTAAATTTAAACTTTGGAACAAATGTATTTTGACTGGTAAAACTATATACAGTTGGTATTTTGCCCATTTAGAACTTTTTTTGAAAAGTTAAGATGGAAAGAATTGTAGAATTGAATAGTTTATGAATTGTCAGATAGCATTTATACTACTATTCTTGAAATGGTTCGTGAAGTTTGAATCTCTGCCTTAAATTTACATTCTGTCATTTTGAGTACAGTGGAAAATATTTTCATAATAATGATTAATGTTTCATTTTCTTTTCCCCTTTAAAAAATTAAGATCTCTCAGGATTAACATTGCAGAGTAATGGTAGGTAATCTCTTTCTTGTAACTTTTTCTGTTTTATTTTATCCTGTCCCCTCTATTTTTTATTGACCTAGAATTTGTGTTGATGCTGGAAATATTTATTAAAAAATTATTGCTTTGGAAATGTAGATTATTTTTTTGTCATGCATCAGCATTTAAAACTGGATTTACACAGGCTGTTGGCTCTTTGAATTCGAATTGCTATTTGTGAACCAAAGTAGTATAAAATATATGATGGGGAACATAAAAGACAACAATATTATTTGAATTGGCAAAAACAAGTTATCTTGTAAGAAAATTTCACAGAGCCCATTTAAGTTGGTGTAAATACATGTGATATTTGAAAATTTGGAAACGTAGCATTCTTTAAAAATACCAGTATTCTCATTTTTCTTCATTTTAGCCTTATGTATTTTTATGAATAATAGATAATTTTAAGGATGATTTACAACTACACGTGTTATTTTTTTCAGTCTTGTTACATTTTGAGTAAATACAACAAGGCTATTTTAAAGTATATGGTTATCACAGATCTAACCCTATTTTAAAAAGGAGAAAGTGTTTTGAGGTAGGAAAATGAAATAGGGAGGGGTGTTTTTGTATTGTTTTTTAGTGTGGTATTTGAGAGCAGAGATCTGTTAAAACCTTAGCTCTGTTACTTAGAACATGTTCATTAACTAAAATTTCTGTAAGAACTAATTAATTTGCAGAGAAACTCTGGTAAAGAACCACTATCATCTTGGAAAGGTGTGTCATTGTTCTGGAGGGAAATGAATGGCTTGGAACTCTTGTTGCAGATCTTAGAGGTGGGTCAGAAATGTCAACTGACCTTAAAATTTAGGAAGAACATGAAAGTACTTGTTTTTTTCTTGTACTTTTCTTTCATGTCACTAGTAATAGAGGAAGACCCTAGTGCCTTTTGGTACCTGTTAATGGTTAGTAGGTTCTGAGAACAGTGGGTTATTTGGTAATTGAGGTTGGTCATGGTGGTCTGGGAAAGGTAGCTTTAAGATTGGTTAAAGTCTTGCCTCTTTGCCACACAGACATTGGTATCACTTTTCTTTGAAGTAAATACCTTTCATATCTTCGCCATTCTCCATCCATGTTTTGGAAAATTAAGTATTTATTTAGCTCAGTAGGTGTTAGGGGTTGGGAGACTGTAGTGGTAACTATATCAGAATCTCCCTAGGAAGGTGGTTATGAGGGAATCCAAATCTGAAGAGTCATCATGTTCCTTCCTGACCAAAAATACTGCTGTTACCAGTACCTGGTACTGATGGGGTTGTGTGAGTTGATAGCCTCTTTTCAGTGGCTCTAGGGCTGTATTCAGCCTTGTAGATCCCCCTAGTGGTGGTTTGCAAAGGCTTCAATGGCTTATTTCCTCAGAAAACAATAGGTGTTTTTCACAGCTCCTTCTAGATTTGGACAAAGAAGTGATACAAAGTCAGGTAACTAAAAGTTAAGAAAATAGGATAGTTCCTTCACTTTTGAGTTGGAATCTTGGTGGTAATCATTTCCAGCCTATCTCATCTCTTTCATGAAACTTCTCATTACTGCAATGACCTATGTATGTATTTTAACAAATATTTAATGAGCATGTATATTGCCTGGTACTGTGTTAGGTTCCAGGAACCTTAGGATAAATAAGGTGTGTTTTCTCCAGTCTCTGGAGCTCATAGTCTACCGGAGGGAAGAAAAAGTACATAAGACAGTGACAGTACCATCAGACAAGTGCTGTGGCTTGTATGCTGGTAGTGATAAAGAGCACAGACCTAGGATGAGCCTGGTGGCTTCAGTTTTTCTATCCCCTGTACATCCCTTACCCCCCTCACAGATCATTTTATAGTCACTGTATATGTGTATGGCTACTCTAAAAATATAGTTAAATCCTAATAGCTAACATTGTATTCTCAGTTTGTGTCAGGTACTGAGCTGAATGATTTACAAGTATTATGACATTATTCTCATAATGCCCCTACGTGGCTAGGTGGCGCTATCCACACAATTAGATGAAGAGACTGGTGCCTGGAAAGGTCAAGGAACTGGAGTACTATGTCAGAAGGAGCTGGAGTAATAAGTTCTCACAGCAGATATTGAAACAATAGGAAAATACTATAAATGACTAAGCTCCATGAAGGCAGAGATGTATCTTTTGTTTATTGATGTATCCGAAGTGCTAGAACAGTACCTGGAACATAGGTGCTCAATAAATATATTTTTAGTGAATGACTTTGTTGAATGCTGGTCCATAAAGAGAAATATGTACTAGTTTGGTGTCTGTTTTTCTGGACTTTAAAAATATATACTATATGGTTTCTTTTTAATTTTATTTTTTTGAATAGGCAATACATGGTCCATAAATCAAAACACTATAAAAAGGTATACAGTGAAAAGAAGTGCTCCCACCCCTGCCCCCATTCCCCCCTACCTCAGGTAATCACTTTTATTAGTTTCTGGTGTTTCCTTCCAGGGTTTCTTTATGTAAAAATACATGTATTATTTCCCTCTTTTCTTACACAACATATTGTACACTGTTCTGGACTTTGCTTTTTTGCTCGTAGGATATGATTTTTAAAACCTGCGTATGATCATAGTGTACAATAGTGTTCTGTAACCTTTTTTTATTTTGGCAAAATATATTGCAGACATCTATCCTTGTTGATGCCAACTGTAAGAAATATGTGGCTTAAATTACTTGATTAAAAATACCTATGGACAGGTAGAAGTCCCAGCTGTACACTTGGAAAGGTTTTTTCAAGGTATTAGGCAAGAAAAAATTGTGAAGCAGAATTAAGTTGTTACAAATGTTTATGAAGCTGAAGAGTCAACTGAAAAGCAAAAAACAATGAGTATCAAGTTGACCAGCTATATATATCCCCAAGTGAGTAGGTTTCTCCTTATATACTAGAAATACCAATGTCTTAGTGAAAAGAATCCCAGTCCCTTTAACAAAAAAACCTACAAAGTCCAGGAATTAATAGAGTTGTCATTCAGCATCGATATGAAGAAAGTCATGGAACTTTACTTAGATATATAATTTTTAAAAAAAGATCGAATAAATACAGTCATACCCACTTTATGTCCCAAACAATTTTTTCTCTGTCTTTTTATAATTCGGCCAAAATTAGTGATGAATGGTTGTATCCAATTTTTTTTACTGATACATAATGATGTATTTAGCATCCTTTTGCTTATCTTTGTTTCCATAGAATTTTCTAAAACGAAACTCCAGTGAAGTGTACTACTTTTAAAAATATGAATGTCCTCATAACTTTTGATGCATGGAAAAAGCCCTTAAGAGGTTGTACATAGAAATTTGAACAATAGATTATTATTTTTGCTTTGAAATGTTCTCAATTAACTTAAAATAGCCATGTAACTAATTGGTATTTAGGTTTAATAGTTTTTTTCAAAGATTGACATAGGGAAAGATAAGGAGTGCTATCTGCTGATTCTTAAAGGAAAAGAGAGTTTTTTGTGGACCATAAATTGACTGCTCTAGAAAGAGAACCTAGTAGTAGAGTTCAGTGGACTGAAATTCTGGGTTAGTGTTAGTTCAAAAGGAGTAAAGGGTTATTTGCTAAAGATAAAAAAAAAACCCTGAGACAATAGCTTGAAAACAAATGGGAAGGTTCTGGGCAGAGAACAAATTGATGTTGTAAATGCAGTTTCAGTTTTCTTTTTTTCCTTGAGGCCAACTAGTCCCAAATGTATTCAAGGAAAGGTGTTTTATCAGCTAGAGTCTAGCTTTGCTTATTAAGGTATAAGCACATAGGTGAAAGATGTTGATACTGAGTTTTTTTACAGCAGATATTTATCAAACAACATTATTTGGATTGTGTTTCTAGAAGGAAATTGCAGTTTGACTTATTTAGGATTTTTCTGCCTGGCTTTAGCCTTTTGGTGGGGACATTCAGTACCCTTCACTTTCAAGGCTATGTTACTCAATAATTCTAGATCCTGGAATTGGATAGCTGTCAGATCCCACTTCTATTTCTGTAGTGTGAAATTAGCAAAAAGATAAAGCTAAGTACTTGATCTTAATTTGGTCTTCTCAGCTAGATAAACATTTTCCCCAGCCATTTGGTTTTCATCTATCTCCTGTTACATATTTAAGATGATTATTCTAGGTTAATTAAGAAACTAAGGAATACCTCTTTAAGACCATTGTTAGAGATTGTTGAAATATAGTCTAGCTTCAAATTTCAGGGAGTCAGCCAGATTGATTGGTAATATATATCTGATGCCACTACCTCTGAATAAATAACTTGCTGATAAACTAATATGCCTGTAAAATAGTTAACTCAAAATATTCTGAGAGTTATTTACACTACAGTTGATTTTAGGTGTTGTTATGTTACTTAGAAGATTTTTTTTGTGGGAATAGAAGCTGATAAGGTTTAAAAATGTGTTTAATTTTCTATATAGCTCCACCAAGTATGTTGGTGAAGGATGAATATGTTCATGACTTTGAGGGACAGCCATCGTTATCCACTGAGGGGCATTCAATTCAAACCATCCAGCATCCACCAAGTAACCGTGCATCGACGGAGACATACAGCACCCCAGCGCTGTTAGCACCATCTGAGTCTAATGCTACCAGCACCACCAACTTTCCCAACATTCCTGTGGCTTCTACAAGTGAGTTGTAGAATCAGATGTAGCTGAATTTCCTTAACCACTGAACACTGTATGTACTCACTTGGAGGAAAGCTCCAAGTGAGTAAAAATTAAAAGTACTATGGTATCTTTCATAGGTAAACAAGTATTAAACAGGTTTTTGGATTGGTCTTGGAAAAAATGGTGTTTGTAATTTATTTAAATGTTCTTATGCTGATGTAGTTACCTAGAATTTAATGACTTTGATTAAATATTGATAGAAATTAGTATTTCAATTTGTACTTTATTACATGCAGAAGAAAGAAGCCTCTCAAGCATTCAAATATATTTAGAGAAATATTTAAGTAGTTAAGTAGCTTTGGACCAAGATGTTCATAAAAATCAGTGTTAATGGAATTGTAAGCTTTCCTGTAATCAGTGTTCTTATTTGCTTTGTCTGGTAGAATATTACTTTGCAATAGTCATTTCAGTCTCTCATTGTGCAAACTTAGAAAAAGGGATTTTGACAAACTTGTTTGTATCATATACCCCTTAAGATAGATGTTATTTCAGTTAGTTTTGGAAAAAAGCTAAATTCTCTCTCTCTCTCTCTTTTTTAAATAGGATGCCTATTTTGAAAGGTTCTTACCATAATAGAGGTGCCGCCTCCTGTGTCACATCACAGAGGCAGAGGGCTATTAGGTTCAGCTCTTCTTAGGGGCTGATATAGGCAGTAATGGCTTGGTCCTGTAAATGCTGCTATTTATATTCACAGTCACCAAAGGTACAACAATTTGATGTTTGGCAGGTGGAGTAGCTTTTTTTTTTTTTTTCAATCACAAAGCAGGGTCTTGTCATGGGTGTGGTACTGTTTGCACTGGGTTGCTAAGGAGATTCTATCTAAGCCCTCATCAGCTGTAGATTGTTGATAGATCTGGACTGATACTTTGTTAGCTACTACCAAAGGGAGCAATATTTTATTTATTTTAATATCAGATCAAATTCAATATAGAAATTTGATCTTTGGAATAGATGGAAGGACTCATTTTTATAACTGAGTTTTTGAGTAAAGTATAGCAAATTTCCCCCCTTTATTTCATTTCACCTCTTCAAAGCAGTGTCTTGGATTTGCTACATGGCATGTAGTCTCACCATAGACAGCGTATTCTAAGTGGGTCATGTAGGTTAAAGCACATACTTCAGAACCTGAACCCTCAATCACTTGGTACTCCTGATCTGTCTCTTTATTTGCCAGTTTGGGAATATAGTTGACAAACAGAGCACGAAGTGGTGGAGAATAAAAGAAGGCACATTACTGCCCCTTGATCATAGATTAGTGCTAGAGGGCAGCTTTTCACGTCTTGATGTTATCTAGAGATTAAATTTGCATTCCTCTGTTAGTAGTTACTAGAGTGACTTCATTTTAACTCTTCTGTTCTATGGGGCTGAGTTCCTGTTGAAGATCAGAAAAAGTAATGTGAATGAAATGCAGATAATTTTGTATTGGTGTTGGGTATATTTTCCAGTTGAATAGTAGTTTTACAATATACTGGATATATTTCACAATTGAGTAGTAATTACCACAGGTTTTAGAATTTGTTGTAAAGTGTTCCCTTACATCTCAAAAAGTGTATTAATAAAATTAGATGAAAGAAAAGAAATTGGACTAAAATAGGGGAATTGGAAGACTTACTTTATATTTTACATGAGCTTGTGTAATGGAAACTTCAGCACAGGTAACTGCAGTGGGCTGGCTGCTTTACACTTCATATTCACTTGGCACTTAAGTATCTTCAGGGTTTCTTTCTAAATATCTGTAAATTAAAATCATTTAATTTATCTTGTATTGTGACAGTATTTGTAAGTTGTCTAAGAGTAGTATGTACAGTTGTTAAAAGCAAGAGTAAAATTAATTAACCTTTAAAGGTAACTTGCAAAAATGTTTTTGGGATGAATAAGAAGGAAGGTTGGTAAAAAAACAACATTTGGAGAGTATTAAATTATTCTTGTTAGCTTTAATCCTAGCCTTAAGGAAATGTGATTTGTAGAGAAAAGAAAAATGTTCCTTTTCCATGATACTTTGAGCAATGCTGTCATTTATTCTTTTATCTGATTATATTCTCATTTAGATGAGAAAGATTGAGGTGATGCCAGTGACAAATAATGATTATGAAACTTCAGTACTTTCCAAATGAGAATTAATTGACTTAATTAGTGCTTGCTTGAAGAAATCAAGGTTTTTCCACTTAAAAAACAAAGCTCTAAAAATTAGGTCAGAAAGCAATATCATAGAATAATTTTGAATAGAAGCCAGATTAGTTTTCCTGGTATGTTACATAGAGACAGTAGACTAGTTTCCTGTAAATCCAGGAATATGGTAATATTCTTGGAAAGAGGTGGTTCTTGATTTTTTAAAGTACATGAAAAAAAATTTTTTTTTTTTTGAGAGGGCATCTCTCATATTAATTGATCAAATGGTTGTTAACAACAATAAAATTCAATATAGGGGGGTCAATGCTCAATGTACAATCATTAATCCATCTCAAGCCTAATTCTCGTCAGTCTCCAATCTTCTGAAGCATAACGAACAAGTTCTTACATGGTGAACGAATTCTTACATAGTGAATAAATTCTTACATGGTGAACAGTACAAGGGCATTCATCACAGAAACTTTCGGTTTTGATCACGCATTATGAACTATAAACAATCAGGTCAAATATGAATATTCGTTTGATTTTTGTACTTGATTTATATGTTGATCCCACATTTCTCCTATTATTATTATTATTTTTATTTTTAATAAAATGCTGAAGTGGTAGGTAGATGCAAGATAAAGGTAGAAAACATAGTTTAGTGCTGTAAGAAGGCAAATGTAGATGATCAGATGATCAGGTGTGTGCCTATGGACTAAGTATTAATCCAGGCTAGACAAGGGCAGCAAGACATCCACGGATGCAGAAGATTTCTCTCAAAGCAGGGGGGGTGAGGTTCTGAGCCTCACCTCTGTTGATCCCCAATTTCTCACCTGATGGCCCCCCTGCGACTGTGCCTGTCTTAGGTTGTTCCTCCCTTGAGGAATCTTACCCGTCTCTGGCTAACCAGTCATCTTCCGGGGCCATACAGGGAAATGTAAAGATGGTAAGTGAGAGAGAAGCCATATTGTTTGAAAAGGTTAGCTTTTTACTTCTTTGCAGGTTTATGCCCTGTGGCTTCTAGAAAAAATTTTTAAGTATAAGCTGATGATAGTTTTTTTTTTATTGCAAATACTATACTGATTGGACAGTGGAGTGCGACCTTTTTTTTTTTTTCCAACTTCCTTGCCTACCCATCACATTCCATTTAAAATATTTGCCTGCTCTGCTTTTCTTTTATCAACCCCTAACATTTGCCATTATCAGTAACAATGCTGATAATAGTGACTTTTCCAGTTTTCAAAATTTTCTTCAGCTTTGGACTTTGAGAGTGCTAATTAGGAAGATCCAGGACTGGTTGGATAGCCAGGGGTGAGCTGATGTGTTTCTAAAGAAGTTATAATGATCAGTTAGCTATATAGTGGGATTTTGCTGGCATTTGAAGAAAATTTGAACAGCGTAGTCCTCTAGAATTTTGAACTTCTTCAAGTTAAGGTTTGCCTATATAGATAGATGACTGTAGGGTTTTTTATATGATAGGCCATGGGTGAGTTCCACTATTTGCCCACCTTTATAGTTGTGACTATCAGATATAATCGGTCCTTCATTTACTGTATAAAAACATAGGATTGCATCTGTAAATGAACCATGTTAATGTCTTCTTGTTCCTCTAGGTCAGCCTGCCAGTATACTGGCAGGCAGCCATAGTGAAGGATTGTTGCAGATAGCTTCAGGGCCTCAGCCAGGACAGCAGCAGAATGGATTTACTGGTCAGCCAGCTACTTACCATCATAGTATGTACATGCTTTTTAAAATCTTTTCAGTAGTTGAGAAAAAATAGGCAGACTTTATAAAAACAAATTAATCCATATGGGCCTTAATTTTTAGACAGCACTACCACCTGGACTGGAAGTAGGACTGCACCATACACACCTAATTTGCCTCACCACCAAAACGGCCATCTTCAGCACCACCCGCCTATGCCGCCCCATCCCGGACATTACTGTAAGCTCTTGTTTTTGTTGTAAAGGCCTTTTCTTTTTGAGGACTTGTTTTTATTTTTCTTTAATGTTTTTACATCTTTTATTCATCAATTAGAGTTTCATTTCATTAAGTAATTAGTGCTTTTCAGTATTTTTTGTAAGTAGTATTTTTCATAGTTATCATACCTTTGTTTTAGAGGAGTGATGTTTACTAAATATATTTATTTCTCTGTTGCTAATGTTTCATTAACACCACATTGATTTCCATTCATTTGTTTGTTTGCTTTGTGTATGTTCTTAGGTCCCATGTGTATCAGTGTATCCACCCCAAGTGGATTGAAGTGCCATGAGTGTCAAGATCTCAAGGTTACCCATAACATAGTGTTCAGCATACTGTAGACACTCTGGTGTTGAATCTGTCATTACTCTGTGCAGACTTGATTAGGAGGGATACCCTACTGATAACCATGGTTTATGATTTCAGGCAGAATAGGAACATTGTTCATTTGGCTTATCAGTAATATTAAGAGTGTACCTCTTTAATATGTATTAAATCCCTTTTCCTCCATTATATGATGAATAGTACCAAAGAAAACTTGGAAAATACATAAGTATAAATAAGAAAATAAAAATTACCCAGAATCCTATTACCCAGAGATATCCACTTCTAATATTTTGTCATATTTTTCCTTCCAGTCATATAAATAGGTATATATCAATTTGGGGGTGGAGGGGATTATACAGTGTACTGTTGTTGTATCCTGCTTTTTATCAGTTATGTTAATATTTTTCCATGTCTTAGAGAATATAATTTTTTATAGCTGTCTGGCCCAGCATAGTGGTTAAGGGTGCTGAGATTAGAACCTTAACTGTGTGACCATTGGCAAGTTATTTAATCTCCCAAAGCCTTAAGGGTAATAATAGTAGTATCTACCTCAAGGGATGTTATAAGAAGTAAATAAAATAATGTGAGGTATTTAGCATAATGTTTTAACACATAATAATCTCTCAATTAATTATGTTAGCTACTGTTCAGTTACGTGTAAATATCCTTAATTTAATAAACCATAAGCACTTTTTTTAGAATGGACCTAATAATTTGAATGATTATTATATATTGCATTATAAATCATTTTGTTACATGTTACATAAATAATTCGTTCATAATTTACATTAAATTTTGCCTGTATAACTATTGTACATTACTTAATAGGATTTGGCACATAGCACAAATTTTTAGCTCTGCAAAAGTAATTCAAGAGTATTTGCTTATTATAATTATAAAGTAATCTAAACTAAGCTTATAAGTTCTTAGACATTACATAAGTTTGATCTAAACAACTCCTAAGGTATGATAGTCATACTTAAATAAGGTTTATTCAAAGTTTTAGCAGTGAAAAACTTTTAATAAATAAAAATGGGTTTTTTATTGTCTGTTTTTTAGGGCCAGTTCACAATGAGCTTGCATTCCAGCCTCCCATTTCCAATCATCCTGGTAAGTGTATTTCAGAATTGATTCCCCATGTTTAGGTTTTCTTTATTGTTATTGAAGCATACAGACACACAGAGGTTTTAATGTAATTTGTAGAGTAACTTAACCTTTCAGATGAGTACAATATTTATTATGGCATTAGTTAATCAACAGTTTATGAATCGCTGATATAGTCACACATAAATTGTCTATACTGATTATTTTTAACTGTCTCAGGAAGAAAAGGCGAGAATTGTGTTTTCAGCTAAAATATGAAGTACCAAAATGCCAGTTTTAGCCTTGAGTACATAAATATGCAGCAGAATAAAACTAGGTTTCAAAATAGAACAGCTGTAAAAACTATAGCCTAAGAATCCAGGGAAGAATCTGAAGTAGATGCTGAAAAGAAAAATAATTTACTTTATCTGTCTTAGGAATAGATTTAGGAGTCTCTGGTTAACTGGAATTTAGAAACTATTTGATTAAATTATGTTCAGAATAGTAAATAGCCAAGTAGATTTCCTCAATTCAGAGTTTGAACGTATCTTTTTAAACTATAAAAGTAATAAAACAGGAAGTCTGGGAATAAAATACTGAAGGCTTCTTAACATAAACATAGGATTTTGCTTTGTTTTCCTTCCCTCCCTCCCTTTGTATCTGTTTGTCTTAAAGATATGCAAATATATAATTTCAATCCATTGCTTTAATTTCTTTACCTTATTTTTAAAAGTTACGTTATTATGAAGAATTTCAAACGTATTCCAAATACCAGAATAAGTGTAGGAAATCCCCCCATTGTATTCATCTGTCCATTTCAGCTACTATGCACTAATGGCCAGTCTTGTTTGAGTCATACCTTAACCTGTTATTTTGAATGAAGTCCTGTATGACCATTTTTTGTATGTAACTATTTCAGTATATATTTCAAATAAAGATGTTTCAAAAATGTAACTACAAAAAGGCATCCTACAGTATGGGAGAATATATTCATAAATGATATATCTGATAAGGAGTTGACATCCAAAATATACAAAGAGCTCATGCATTTCAACAAACAAAAAACAAATAATCCAATTAAAAAATGGGCAAAGGATCTGAACAGACACTTCTCCAAAGAAGAAATTCAGATGGCCAACAGGCACATGAAAAGATGCTCCACATCGCTAATCATCAGAGAAATGAAATTAAAACCACAATAAGATATCACCTCATACCAGTTAAGATGACCACCATCCAAAAGACAGACAACAACAAATGTTGGAGAGGTTGTGGAGAAAGGGGAACCCTCCTGCACTGCTGGTGGGAATGTAAATTAGTTTAACCATTGTGGAAAGCAGTGTGGAGGTTCCTCAACTAAAAAATAGAAATACCATTTGACCCAGGAATTCCACTCCTAGAAATTTACCCTAAGAATGCAGTAGCCCAGTTTCAAAAAGACATATGCACCCCTATGTTTATTGCAGCACTATTTACAATAGCCAAGAAATGGAAGCAACCTAAGTGTCCATCAGTAGATGAATGGATAAAGATGTGGTACATATACACAGTGGAATATTATTCAGCCATGAGAAGAAAACAAATCGTACCATTTGCAGCAACATGGATGGAGCTAGAGGATATTATGCTCAGTGAAATAAGCCAGGCAGAGAAAGACAAGTACCAAATGATTTCACCCATCTGTGGAGTATAAGAACAAAGAAAAACTGAAGGAACAAAACAGCAGCAACCTCACAGAACCCAAGAAAGGACTAACCAAAGGCAAAGGGACTAGGGAGGATGGGTGGGAAGGGAGGAATAAGGGGAAAAAGGGGCATTATGATTAGCACACATAATGTAGGTGGGGAGGGGGGCATGGGGAAGGCAGTATAGCCCAGAGAAGACAAGTAGTGATTCTATAGCGTCTTACTATGCTGATGGACGGTGGCTGTAATGGGGTATGTGGTGGGGACTTGATAATGGGAGGAATCTGATAACCACAGTATTGCTCATGTAAGTGTATATTAATGATACCAAAAAAAAAAAAATGAAACTGCAATAACCATAATGATCAATTTAAAGGATAACTTACAGTTCATCAAGTACGTCTCCATAATTTCTTAAATAATGTTCTGCTTTTTATTTTTTATGCTCCAATTTTTCTTCCATCTGTTTAAAAAGAAACAAAACATTAAGGGTAAGAATTTTATGCTTAGAACTCATCTCATATTTCAGTTTAATAGACTTAAAGAATTTCTGGATCAGAAGGCCAAATTGCTTTAGAGTAATCACATCATAGTGTGAGAACCAGTTTGACAGTATGAGAGCACATCAGAGCATGCTCACCAGCGGTAGATGGGGTAGTTTAATACACTTTTTGCTGATTATTTAGGAGGACTATAATACTCAGTTTGATTAGGAGAAAAATGCTTTTGTGGGGCAGAAACATTTTTTAACTATACGTATTTACTAGTTACATTATCCTCTTTTGTGGATTTTCTGTTATTTGTATATTTTTGTAGTTTGAAACATTTTTTATGGGTTAAGAGATCTTTTTAATAAACCTTTTTATTGAAAAATGTAATATGCAGGAAAGTACATAAACAAGTGTACATACAGTCTAATGAATAGCATTAAAGCCAACACCTCTGTAACCACTGCCCACATTGAGAGCTGAAACATTGCAGCACCCCCAGAAAACTTCATGCCCAGTGCATTTTGTCTCAGTCCAGAACTTTCCCTCTCCTCCCCCCAGAGATAACCAGTTTTGCTTTTTATGGATATTATGTTACTGCTCTTTGCAAGTGATGAATGTACCCCTAAACAATCCAGTTTAGCAGTTTTGTTTTACTTGTTTTTGAAATTATTTAAATGAAATAATTGTATCAGAATCTTATTTTGTGTTTGTGAATAAATGTGGTGAGTAGAAAATCTAGCATCTTAAAAATGAGAATTATTGCTGGTTTCAAGGCAGCATCATTGAGAGTTAGTAGTGGTCCCTGGCAAATTGGGTATAGGGAGGTATCTTAGTTGTTCATATGGCTTAGTAGAAGGTGGTCTGTAGAAGTGAGGGTGATCAAGGCTCTGAAGAAAAACTTATACTGAATGGAATTATAGAGTGGAGTTGGGAGTGGATGCATTTAGCTAGTTATTTGGTCTCAGTTTTTGTCTCTCGATAGGTTTACTTCATTCTTCTAGAGGCAGAACTGACGTTGAAGTCTAACAACTCCTGTGGTTAGGGAATAGCATAAACTAGTGGTGAGGATATGCATCTGCAGCACCCTGCATTGACATTAAAGCCTCTGTCTTTGAGTAGAGTAGGATGGTGAGGATGACCCTGACAGGTCTAAGTAGTTGCAGAAGGGGATCAGCTCTGCATGTACACCTTTAATGGAGTCAGCTGGTTGGAACCTAAATGGCTATGAACTCTTTGGCTATGCATACTAATAGGCCCCAGAGGAGTTTTATCTCACAACTGTTCATTTCTCCTTTTATACTGTTCAGAGAATATTCTAACTGGTCTCCCTGTTGAAAGAACTTCCAGTCAAAGTGCGCTCTTTTCCACCATTTAATCTCCACCGCTACTTGGTATTTCTTTTAAAATTTGAATCTAATTTTAGATTATGTACTGACTCCCCTACTCATTGCTTAGACATAGGTTAAAGTCCAAATTTCTTATCTAGACAGAAAAGAGTCTCTGATCCTGGTCCCTGTGTATTTCTCCAACCTCCTCTCTTTATGCTGTAACTATCCAAAACCATCCTTTCTCAAACTTGCTTGACTGTATCATCATCCCTCTATGCTTGTCTATTGCTTTGTAAGTTTACTCCACAAACTTGGCAGGTTAAAACAGCATTAACAATTTGTTATCTTAGTTTCTGTGGGTCAGGAATCTGGGAGTTGTTTAGTGGGTTTGCTCTGCTCAGGAGTCTCTTGAGGTTGTAGCCAAGATGTTGGCTTGGGCTGCCATCATCTGAAGGTGTTTCTTGGAGACAGAGGATTCACTTCAGGGTGGTTTACCCACATACCTAGAAAGTTAGTGTTGCTATTGGCAGGGAGCTCCCATTTTCTCTCCACGTGGACTCTCTCTAGAGCTTCTTGAGTGTCTTCATGTGACAGCTAGTTTCCCCCAGATTGAGTGACCAAGAGAAAGAAAGACAGAGCCTTGAGGTCTTTTATGATTTACCTTCAAGTCACATCATCATTTCTGTAGAATCCTATTTCATGGGGAGGGAACCACACAAGGGTGTGAATATTAGGAATTGTGAGAATCTTTGGGGGCCATCTGCTGTCCATGCACTCCTGTCTCCTAAATGTGGCAAACCCTTTTAAGAGTCAGCTTGAGTACGCAGCTGTTGGGAAGCATTTCCTAATCTTGGTGTCCCCTGCTATCTAGTATTCTCTGATCCTACTGAATTACTTGCTAGTTTACATGTCTCCTATCCTTGTTTATGAACAAATAGAAAAGAAACCAAAGTAAAAATGTTTGTATTACGTGTATGGCTAATGCAGCAGCCTCTTAAGGACTGATTAAGAAATGCAAAAATATTCTACCCCATTTAGACAGGAAATACACATATGCCTCTGATTATGTAAAATATTTTAAGTAATTTCAAATCATCAGTAATATATAGTCTATTTTGAGAAATTATTTTTGAAGATAACACATACATATTTTAGGAAATTAAAGTAATACAAGTTATAGAAAATGAAAATAATTAGTATTGGTCATTACCTTGGTGTTAAAGATTTCAGACAGACCAATCTACTTAGTGGTTTTTATGCTTTGATAACCAAGTTGAAAAAGTATTTTGGAAAAGGTTTATTTCATTTCTTTTGAACTAACTCTGTTTTTGCTTTTTTTCTTAAAGCTGAGATATAGTCATCAAATTAAATATCTAAATATTGATTACAAATTAGAGAGTTTCCTCAGTGTCTTTGTGGTTGTGTTGGTAATTCACAAATGAATCAAAATCCACAAATTTCTAAGGTATGTTGTGTTTTAGTGCTTTGGAACTCTCTACCATTCAAGAGCATACCTTTATGTGTTCATAAAAAGATTCTCATAGAGCATCTTATTCAGGTCTAAAAGGAATATTTCATAATGAGTCTCTTAGGTACTTTAACCAAGTTTTTAACTTTCACTTGAATGACTATTTTATTTCAAAAATTGAAGGTAATGCCTTGGAGAGTTATATTTTCCGTTATAATTGAACAACATTTACTTGATAAAACTGTGCTTATAGTACAATTCCCCTTTACAAGAAGTATTTAGCTAAGTTCTTATATTGTAAAAAAAAATCTTTTCATGCTGCTAACTGTCTTCTTTTCCTCTGGCTATGATGAGCAGTCCATAGGCTTCATGAGAATGGCTCAAATTCACTAATCCGGAAACAAGAAACTAAAAACACCATTGTCAGCAAACACATAACAGTCCCACTGTCCTTGGGATGAGTTGGGACATTAAGAAAGTTCTTTCTGAACTGAGTGGTTCTGTCCCGCTGTTGTTGCTAGTTTTGAGAAGCTGAGGGCTTGCCACTTACATGGCATTTGGTCCTTGGAACAAAAGAGCAAAGAGAGAGCCAGAAAGGCTTAATGAGTGTTTCCTCTTATCTTCTCCTATTTTAAAGACTAATGTTCCCTCCTGCTGTTTAACAAATTTAGAATAAAGTAGGAAAGTTTTTCATGTGGTATTTTGTATCCCAACAACGCCAAGTTTTCTGGAACTCACTTAGATTACCTCTAGCTCTGTCCTCACAGATAGTATCCCCCTTCCTCCTGCTTTCCTAGGTCTTGGTAATTTTTTAATAGATGGTCATTTTTCATTCCTGGTCTGTGGTACTGCTCTGATGCGGGTTTCGTTTTAATCCTCAATTTTCTTAAAACTCTTCCTCTAGTGAATACGTCAACTCAAACTAACCCTGTTCAGAGAGGCAGTTTACAAGCCATTGTTGTGGTATGATGTCTGAAATCCTAGGCAGACAAACAAAAAATACCCTTTGGTGATTGGGAAAAAATAAATAAGGCTTAAGTGCACTTGGCAGATGTTGCAATTCATGAAGATAAAAATATTTTTCTTATTTGAACATGGTCATTGTACAACTCCCCCTTTTCCCCCCCAAATGGATTTTCATGTGAAAAAGCTTGCTCGCCATAGGACTTTACTTCTGGATAGCATTCTTCTGTATGAACTGGGAAATGCATGTACTTGGACCTTATTTTTTTTTAATTTTTTTTAGGAGAGCCAGGGAGACTTTTATTGAGAGAGACAGTGAGAGGGCAGACAGAGCTCCTGGCGTGAGCCAGGAGGGGATAAGAGAGCCCTGGACCTTATTTTTTTACCCAGCATTATAACCATTCATGACTTCAGGGCATTTTTTGCCACCAAATGTACTATTTGGACTGATGTTTAAAGACCTCTCTTAATAAGTACTACTTCAGTTTTTGCTGCCAGAACATTGGGTATTGTTATGTGGTCTTAAACAACCTCTTTAGTTTCAGCTTCAACCAGTATACCTGCCAGCTAAGTTTGCTGAAGCTTCTTGTCTATAGCATAATGAGATGAGATGAGATGTCTTTAATAAAGAATTTTACTATAAAGAATAACTTCATAAATGTTTCAAAACTGACTTTTTTAAGAAGGTATTTTAGCATATCACTAGTTTTTATGTTCTAATGATAATCAAAGATATTTGAAGTAATGTTTGTGATTAGGTGATTTGACCTGTGTGGCAAAATTTTTGAATTTTCAAACTTTTTGAATCACTCTATCTTAATGTGGGCTCTTACTGATTCTTCATTGGAAAGTACTTTCTTTTTTGACAGCATTTTGAAAAGCAGTTAGATCCATAGATTTTGCAAGATTAAAAAAACAGATTTTTTAAGCATCAGTTATAGTTCATTTTAAGGTTTTTGGTGGGTCTGAAAAGATGTATTCTTTTTGTCATTCTAAGTATCTTTTCAGATTTTGAAAGTTTTATTGCTTCAAATTCTAGTTCAGTCAGAATTCATAAAAGGTACACTGAGATACAGATAAATCATTGGTTTATCAGCATAAAATTTCCATTCTCTAATAAATGTCACTGGTCTTTTTTCCCCCTGAAGTGTGTGAAATCCATTTCTGCTTTAGAGCCTTTCCATTTGCTTTCCTCTTGAAATGTTCTGTTCGCAGTCTTCACGTAGATACTTGGTCTTCAGGCTCTACCCCTACCATGTAGCCTGAAGTATTCTTACCCAGTTGTCTTCTGTGCCATATGCTGTTTTATTTTCTTACAGTGTTTATTTATCATTACCTGAGTTATTTTGTTCATTTGTTTGCTTTTTTGTCTGCTTCTGACTCTCCAGGAGAATAGGAAAAAATAACTGTCTTGTTTACTGCTGTTTATGTAGTGCCTAGAATGATTCCTATGTACTCTCTAAATCTGTTACATTAGCTAAAAAGGAAAATCAAATATTTTGTATGTATATGAGCTCTATGCAATAATTATATTCAAACAAAAATTGGAAATACTTGATCAACTATATTCACAAACCAAACCAACTAGCACCTCCTTTTCCTCCCAATTATTTAAAATAATTTTAAGTCATTTATTGTTGTTCAAATGCATGAAATAAATAAATCTTCAAAGTTAAAATTGTGGTAGTTAACATGATTTTGGCTTCCCTAAAAATACAGATGGAGCAAATGACTTTTTACCCAAGAGGCAATTCAGAATTCCTGCTCACAGCAGATTTGGAGTGTAATTAACCTCAATGGCTGACTTGCTTATGCCCTTTCTCTCAATTAGGTATCTAAAAAAATATGTTATGGATTGATGTCATTCAAGAGCACTTCCCTGGAATATTATGTCTTAGGGTCTGTGTGTCTTTAAAAAAATGAATATGGACTTCATAGAAAATACCATGCTGATCAAATAAAACATCATGATTAACTAATTTATTTTAGATTCTAATTACTTTTGTTTAAAGAACAATTAAAACAATTAAAGAATTCTTGGTTGACTGGTCCTGTGAGGTACAAACCAAATTGTAGATTTAAAAAATGACTCTAGAGCTTCAAGAATGCATGGTACTGAGTTGAAAAATAGAAGAAATGGAAATACCTGTTTTTTAATGCATTGTAATTTTAATCAAATTCTTTTGGGTGATTTCCCTATGCATCTATGCTTCCTTCACCCTTTCTTTTAGGAAAAACTTTGTCTTACGGAGTGAAAGTGAAGAAAGCCTTGTCTTTCTTACATGGGTGGATGTTTTCTCCCATTTATCTCCTGTAGCTCCTGAGTATTGGTGTTCCATCGCTTACTTTGAAATGGATGTTCAAGTAGGAGAGACATTTAAGGTTCCTTCAAGCTGCCCTATTGTTACTGTTGATGGATATGTGGACCCTTCTGGAGGAGATCGTTTTTGCTTGGGTCAACTCTCCAACGTTCACAGGACAGAAGCCATTGAGAGAGCAAGGTATTGATTGTACAGTTAGACAGTTACTTTAAAAATTGAACATAGTACACTATAGTTTATTCAGAGTCATAATTTTCAATGGAATGTATGTTTTTGAACATTAATGAAAGAGGAAAGGTCGTCTTGGGAATTCAAAATTTGTAAGCATTCTGTTTTTGTAGATATGTGTTATTTAAAATATGATAAAATGTGTTTTTTTTTAAAGTTAGGTTTTCTCTTCTTTGAAGAGTAATTAGACCTTTTGGATTCCAGTTTGAGAACTAATCTTTATTTCCTCTGATCATATATTATTTCTGCAAATCTATTGAAATAAAATGAGAACAAGTTTCTGCAAGTGTTATTGATAAAAGGGAAATAAATGTTCAATTTTGATAAACTCATTTAATGTAGTCATTAAAATGTTAGTGAAAAGTTATATAGTTAAATATAAATGCTTAAGATGAAGTTTTATAAGAAAACATAATTTTAAGTACTGCATGAATTCAGCTCTAAAGAAATGTGTATGTGTGTAACCAGAGAACCTTGGCTCTGTCACTAGCCATGTTACTTCAGCAAATTACCTACGTTCTAAGACAATGATGTCTAAAAGAATTCTCTGTAATAAAGGAAATATTTAATCTGTGTTGTCTAGTACAGTAACTACTAACCACGTATGGTTATTGAGCACTTAAAATATGGCTCATGTGATTAACAGAATTTTTAAATTAATTTAATTTAAATAGCCACATGTAGCTAGTGGCTGTTGATTAGGACAATGTAGCTATAAGCCTAGTTTCATCATTTATAAAATGTTAAAATGTTATGTTAAATGATCCTGACATACAGCAATCATTATATATATGTTCATCAATATTGTATATGAATGAGATACTTTTAAAAAAGGAAATATATAAAAATGTTAACAATGGCTATCTTTTGGTTATGGTGTTACATAATGTCCTTTTTATTTTTAATTTTTCAATCCTGGGTATGCTATATAATCTGAACTAAAATTTATTTTTATATACCTATCAAAATGAAATGTAATTCCCCTTTTCTTCCTAAGGTTGCACATAGGCAAAGGTGTGCAGTTGGAATGTAAGGGTGAAGGTGATGTTTGGGTCAGGTGCCTTAGCGACCATGCAGTCTTTGTACAGAGTTACTACTTGGACAGAGAAGCTGGGCGTGCACCTGGAGATGCTGTTCATAAGATCTACCCAAGTGCATATATAAAGGTTAGTTGCAGTTTTACACAAATATTTTAGACTTGGAAAACTATTTGTTGTTTTAAGAATTGAGATGGAGTTGGAAAGGGCAGAAAAATGTCTTTTTATGTATTAAATAATCAGAAATTATGTTTGTGTATAAAACACATTTTCTGGGGGAATTTATTGACACGACTGGTTGTTTGGGTTTTTTCCTTGCATCTGTGCCCTATTGTGAACAATATACAGGCTTTTGAAATGTTTTAGAACAATATACAGGCTTTTGAAAATACTGAAAACTTTAAATTTGTTTTTCTTGACTTAAAATACGTAAAAATCAGACTTTGGAGTTTCGTCTTAGTCAATCTTCAGGATTTTATGAATGAGAAATCTATAATTCCCTTTTCAAATTAAGAACCATGTAAATGAGAAATAGAAATGAGAAATGGAAAATTCTTTAACACCAGGTTTTTTAAGGTTTATTTTGTGCATTTAAATGAGTTTTATTTACTATATTATTTTGCAAATTAAGTCTGAGGTATTTTTCATTATTACATATTCAACCCATTTCAATTTTAGTTTAATATATACACTGTCTTTGAAAGAGAAAGATAGTTGTATTTAGGCTAAATATTTTTAATGTCAGATTTTTTGCAGTCATCCTAAGCATCTTCATTGTTAGTTATCATAAATTAGTAGAATTAACTGTACCTCATCACTTATTCCCAGGAAATTGCTTAGCATACAAATAATATAGCCAAACAATATCTGCAAAAATGGAATTGCTTGATTGGCTCCTAACACATTTTCCCAATACCCATTTTCAGTCATTACATTTCAGTTAAAGGATATAGGGGTCTTTTTTTTTTTAATGAAACTTTCAAATATATCAAGTATAAAGAGCAATAAACGTCCATGCACCCATCATCCGGTTTCAACAGTTACCAGCGTTTTACCAATCTTTAATGTTTTTCTCCCTCACCATTTTCCCTATAGTAATGTAAAGCCAATTCCAAATATTATATTAAGTTTACTGATAAAAATACTCTAGCATGAATTGCTAATTGATAAATACTTCTAAAAAACATAATCACAGTGCTGTTTATTGCACCTGACAAAATTAACAATAATTCCTGTTAAAAGCTTTGATAGTAGAGGACCATTTATAGTTTTGATCTGTTGAAACAATGGAATAGAACATTAAAATATTGTATTTATTGATAGGATATTCATGATGTGGAAAAGTTGGTTATTAATGCATAGAATATGATCTCATTTTTGTTAAAGAAATAATATCATGTTTATTTGTATTTGCTTATATACCCGTAAGTCTAGAATAGTGTGTCTTACCAGGAATTGTCTCTGGGAGGTTAACTGTCTGTATTTTCTGGTTTTCCCACAAGGAATTTTAGTTATTTGTGCTTTGTTACTATTTTTAAGTGGTGTAGGATTTCCTCATATGATTTGTAATCTCTTCTACATTTGTTGGCACATTTGTCTGAGAATTAATTCATTTTATTTTTATTTTTTCCTCCCTGTCATTAATTCTCTCTCTAGGGCAATTTTGCTTTAGTCTGGAACTCTAGGATCCACATCTCAGAACCATTTGTCATATTTAGTAGGTAGAGGAATTTTGTCCTTTGAGGAAATTGGGTTCCTATCTCCAGATATGCTTAGGGCCTAATTCCAGTTGCTTAGGTTTCTCTGATACTTACCTCTGCAGTGGGCAAGAATTGTATTTCTTGGTATATTTCTGAGTTAGCCATTAAATACCAAAACTGATTCATGGGCAAGTGCCCAGTTATAGCCTTCAGAGAGCTTGGCTATTGTCTCTTTTTCTGCATTAGTCCAAGAAGTTGAATTCCTGTCCTCTACACCTGTTTTTGGTCTTGGGTACCCCAAGTACTTTTCGTCTTTAGTCCTCTCTCCAGTTGATGAATGTATGGATGGTTTCCACTTTTTGGCTATTATGAATAATGCTGTTATGAACATTCACGTGTAAGCTCTTAGGTAGATGTGTGTTTTCATTTTTTGGATATATAACTAGGAGTAGAATTGCTGGATCATTAAGTGACTGTGTGTTTATTTTTTGAGGGACTGCCAGACTCTTTTCCAAAGTGGCTGCTCCATTAGTCCAGTTTATTTGTTTGGTTGCTTGTTCTTGTGATGTCATATCTAAGAAACCATTACTTAATCAAAGATCATGACTGTTTATTCTTATGTTTTCTTCTAAATGTTTTATAGTTGTATCTCTTAAGTTAAGCCCTATGATCCATTTTGAGTTAGTTTTTCTGTATGGTATAAGGAAGGGATCCCGTGTTGTTCTTTTGAATGAGAATATTGAGTTCCAGCAACCATTTGTTGAAAAGACTGTTCTTGCCCTCAGAAGTTATCTTGATACCTTTGTTGAAATTCTGTTGGCCTTAAGTGTAAAGGTTTATTTCTGGGCTATCAATTCTGTTTCATGGATCTGTATCTTTATCCTCATGACAGTACTATGTCTTGATTACTTTAGCTTTGTAGTAAGTTCTCCAACTTTTTTTTTTTCTCAGGATTGTTTTAGCTGTTACTAGCTCCTTATATTTCCATATGGATTTTATGGTTGGCTTGGAGAATGTATATTTTTAATAGTGTTTCTATCCTTTGTATGTGTTTGGAACAGAGAGAGAAGGAGATTATGTGTACCTACTCATCCATCTTGATTGGAAGTCTCTGGATTACTTGTGTAATTTGCAGTGAATGGACAGGACTATGGTGTTGAATAGATACTATGTGCTAGACTGTAGTCATGAATTTAACTAGATATGGGGTAGTATTTAAAACATTTAAACTTTAAAAATGTGGTATCTTAAATAATTTCCAGCACTGTCAAATAAATGTAACATCTTTACTTGGTGCAAGTGGTTCTTGAAAAGTCCCAAAGGGATGAGATGCCATTATTTAACAAACCACTGCCCTGGATAGATTTTATGGTGATCTCATGCATTTTCCATGAACAATAAATATCTTGTGGGACATTTTAGTGAAGTAAAAACAACACCTCATTTTTGTCACATTAAGGTTTTAAAAAGAATAGTTTCTGTTTATCCAAGAATGTTACTGTTCTTCAGAAGAGTCTTATTATTAGCCAGACAGAAAGAGCTGCAGATACACTGTAAATCTAACCTTAGCATTTTCTTTGTTTGTTTATTTTTGAGGCAGCAGTACCTAAAAGATCTGTATATTACTGTTAGTCTATCAGATTCTCACCAGAGGTGATATGTATGACTGACACACACACACACACACACACATTCCCAGTTTCCCTATTTAATTAAAATTAGGAAAATACAGGTTTAGAAAGCCATTCTTTCATTTTATAAACAAGAAGCTAGAACTAATTTTTTTTCCTTCTCTCATGACAGAGTAGTCATCTTATGGTCATGAAAATCTGATGTATTGAAATGGCATTTTATAAGCTTTAAATGAATTAAAAGTTTAAAGTTTCTTTAAGTGGCCTTGCTTTTTTTTCAAAATAGTAAGGTTTGTTTTGTGGTACTCACTAGCACTGGGCACTTAGGTTTTTTAACAGATTATTGAGCTACAGTTCACATAACATGTAATTCACTCATTTAAAATACATAATTCAGTAATTTTTTAGTATGTTGAGAGCTGTGCAGCTATCACCACAATCAATTTTAGAACATTTTCATCATCCCAGAAAGAAACTCTACCTTTAGTTATCACCTTACAACCTCCCCTCCCCGCCCAATTTCTCCCAGGCCTGGACAACCACTAATCAACTCTCTCTGTCTACACGATTGCCTATTACAATATTTTGTAATAGTGGAATCATATAATGTGGTCTTCTGTTAGTTACTTCATTAAGCATGTTTTCAAACTTCAATCATGTATATGTGTGTACTTTATTCTTTTTATGGCTGAATAATACTACATATACCACATTTTGTTCATCCATACGTCAGTTGATGGACATAAGGAATTCCACTTTTTGGCTGTATTATGAATAATACTGTTAATGAATTATGAATATCGGTGTACAAGTTTTTGTGTGAACATACATCTCATTTCTCTTGGGTATATACTGAAGAGTGGAATTCCTGGATCATAAGGTAACTAACTTTTTGAGGGGCTGCAAGTGGCTGTACCATTTTAACATTCCCATCAACAGTGTGGGAAGGTTCCAATTTCTTTAGTCTATAATGAACACTTGTTATCTATCTTTTCAATCTTAACCATCCTAGTAGATGTGATGTAGTACTATGGTGGTGGTTTTTGATTTGCATTTCTCTGATGATGTTGATTCAGGTTTGTTTTTAAACACAAACATGTTAGGGGAAGGGGGCAGTGGATGCTTCTAAACCACAGGTGGGTTAATTGAAGGTTGTTATGATCCCCACTTAAGTTTATTCCCACTTGCAATATACTGTGATTTTTCCAGGTCAGGTAATTTAGCAATCCTTAATGCCATGTTATGTTCACATGTCCAGTATAACAATCTGGATTACATTTTCTGTGTTGATTCAAATTGAGGGTGTTGTAATTAAGCCTTATGAAAGAAAAATGCCAGAATTTTACTCCTTTCAGAATTTATCTTTTGGAAAGATAATACCCTGAAAGTGCTGACAGTGACCTTTATAAAACACATTGGTTAAGTAATAGGTTTTGTAACAAACTTATGTGAAAGTAACCATAGAAAACATATTTAAGTAAATGAAAACCAAGGTAAATTGTTGATTAGCTCAGGAGTGGTGATCAGAAATACCTTCTGGATCTGAGCCAAAAAGACTATTTAAAACCTTTGGTTAGTTTGAATTGTCTTTATCAACAATTTAGTTCAATTATAAAAGGAAGATGGTTCTATTTCTCTGATAGCCTTAATTTTACCATCTGGTGTAACAGATGAAATCTGTTACAGTTTGATGGATCAGGTATAGTGTATAGTAAGGAGGCAACCCAAGTTTAAGCAGTATAGCCAGTCATTATAAGTCTTCTGGTTTGAGTGCTGTAATTATATAAACAATCCATTGTGGAAGGAAGGTTTGCTGAAGAGCTTAATGAATAATTTTTATTACCTCTGCAGATACAAGTGAGTCACAGTGTCTTAGTTTCATGGTTGTGACTACCTGTAGTATGTGCTGCTGATTTAGGCTAAGGCAGTCATAACTGCAATTGTTTACAACATACTCTAAACAGCCTCTGTATCAAGATCCTTTGGCTATTTTTTAATGACTCATGGCAGGGGTGGGGGTATGTTGAGAGCATGTTTGAACCCTGGGAATTTGTAAGTAAGTTTTATTCCATGCTCCCAGATGATAAGATTATGTATGTACTGTACTTGGTTAGTGATGGTTAAAAACATTTTTTTAAGTGGTTGTAAAGACCCAATTGTAAAACACAAAGCTATCAAACTCCTAGAAGGTAACATAGGAAAAAATGTAGATGACCTTGGGAATGGTGATGACTTTTTAGATACACCAAAGGCACAATTCGTGAAAGAAACAATTGATAGGCTGGACTTCATTAAAATTAAAAACTGCTTGTGCAAAACAATGTTAGGAGGGTGAGAATTTAAGCCGCAGACTGGGAGAAAATATTTGTTAAAGACACATCTGGTAAAAGACAGTTATCTAAAATATAGAAAGCTCTTAAATTTCAACAGTAAGAAAACAAACAGCCTGATTAAAAAATGGGCAGAGACCTGAATAGATACCTCACTGAAGAAGATATACCAGTAGAAGTAAGCATATGAAAATATATTCAAAGCCTTACATCATTAGATCATTACAAATTAAATGCCTAGATGCTATGCCATACCTAGCAGAATGACCAAAATCCAAAACACTGAACACCAGTGCTGGCAAAGATGTGGAGGAGCAGGAACTCTCCTTTGCTGCTGGTGGGAATGCAAAATGGTACAGTCACTCTGGAAGACAGTTTGGTGGTTTCCTACATAGCTAACATGCTCTTACCATACAATCCAGCAGTCATGGTCCTTGGTATTTACCCACATGAATTGAAAACTTACATCCACATAAAAACCTGCACATAGATGTTTGCAGCAACTTTATTCAGAATTGCCCCAAACTTGGAAGCAACCAAGGTGTCCTTTAATAGGTGAATGGATAAATAAATGGTGGTACATCCACACAATGGAATATTATTCAGCACTAAAAATAAATGAGCTATCAAGCCATGGAAAGATATGAAAGAACTTTAAATGCATATTGCTGAGTGAAAGAAGCCAATCTGAAAAGGCTACATACATAGTGTATGATTCCAACTATATGACCCTCAGGGAAAGGCAAAATTACGGAGAGAGTAAAAAGATGAGTGGTTTCTAGGGATAAGGGTGGGGAGAGGATGAATAGACAGAGCACAGAGGACTTTTAGGGCAATGATACTGCAGTGTTAAATACATATCATTATGTATTTGCCCAAACCCATAGAATGTACAAAACCAAGGGTGAACCTTCATGTCAATCTTAATGTAAACCATCACTTCGGGTTTATAGTGTAGGTTCATTGGTTGTAACAAATGTACCACGGTGGTGTGGGATGTTCATAGTAGGTGAGGTTTTACTTGAGTGTGGACAGGGAACTCTCTCTACTTTCTGCTCAATTTTACTATGAATCTGAAACTACTCTGAAATACAAAGTGTATTAATTTCCTTTTTTAAAAAAAAGTGGTTGTAGAGCTATTTGGCTTTTCAAATATTTGAATCTCTGCTCTGTGCTGTGCTAGGTAATACCTTCCAAGAGGTCACAGCCTGGTGGAAAAGTTCAGAATCTAATGGACTCTTGGGAAATCTTGAAAATATAATGGTTTCTGGGCATTGTGGGATTTCTCATTTTCAGACCTGACTTTGTTATGCTGTCTGTCTTGAAGTCTTTTAGGAATAGTAGTTTGGCCAGGTAATACATACATACATAATTGACACATTATACCTCTTCAGAGAATGAGATGGCCTAAGTTTTGTCCTCTATTGATGCTAGAAGATAGGTAATGAGTAGAGAAGTAAATAGGAATGTGATCTGCTATTTGGAGAGGATTATTTTGTTTATTGTTATATGCTGTGTATTTTGTTTAAATACATGGTTAAAGACAACATTTTTTCATGCATCTCAAGATTAATGGTTTGGGTTCTAAGCCTTTTGTTTATCTGATTAAGTACTTTTATGCATCCTTTGATTTCTTTTATTGTCAAGGATAATTATACTTGCTCATATATGGGTTTTAGCTTGTCGTATTTTAAAAAATTTTAATTTCTTCTTTGAATAAGGAACATAGTTACATGGTTTATAAATGAAAGTTATATTTAAAAAAGTTTGCATTAAATAGCCTTGCCTCTACGGTCCTTGTCTTTCTTTCCTACAACTTCTGTGGAGACCATTCTGCTTGTGTCATCTTCCAGTACTTTTTAAAACACAGGTATAAGCAGATACATTATTTTAGCAAGTTGGCTTTTCCTAGAAAAAAAGGTGATATGATTTATCAGCCATAATTTATTGCATGCTGAAAGAACATCCAGTAGTTACATAGGGATGAAATAAAAGTGGTAACCCATTCTTGCTCTACTAGCCCATGGCATGGCTGATGAAAAACCTTGAAATTACTTACAAACTCCCTAATTCATCCTGAAAGGCAAATGGTTACAGGGGATATCAAAAATAAAATAATAAGTAACATTTATTGACAGCTTATTATATACTATGCCAAGTTTACAACAACCCTATGAATAAAAGCTGTACACTTTACATTCCCATTTTATAGATAAGAAAATTGAGGTTCCATTTAGGTTAAGAAACTCAATTATGTTATTTGCAGATCATCAACGTGACAATATATTAAGAGCATTTTTAAACATTTAAGTAGAGAGAAACTAGTTCAATGAAATCCTATCTACCCATCACTGAGATTCAGTAGTTAAGATTTTGTATTTGCTTTGCTTGTCGTATTTTAAAAAATTTTAATTTCTTCTTTGAATAAGGAACATAGTTACATGGTTTATAAATGAAAGTTATATTTAAAAAAGTTTGCATTAAATAGCCTTGCCTCTACGGTCCTTGTCTTTCTTTCCTACAACTTCTGTGGAGACCATTCTGCTTGTGTCATCTTCCAGTACTTTTTAAAACACAGGTATAAGCAGATACATTATTTTAGCAAGTTGGCTTTTCCTAGAAAAAAAGGTGATATGATTTATCAGCCATAATTTATTGCATGCTGAAAGAACATCCAGTAGTTACATAGGGATGAAATAAAAGTGGTAACCCATTCTTGCTCTACTAGCCCATGGCATGGCTGATGAAAAACCTTGAAATTACTTACAAACTCCCTAATTCATCCTGAAAGGCAAATGGTTACAGGGGATATCAAAAATAAAATAATAAGTAACATTTATTGACAGCTTATTATATACTATGCCAAGTTTACAACAACCCTATGAATAAAAGCTGTACACTTTACATTCCCATTTTATAGATAAGAAAATTGAGGTTCCATTTAGGTTAAGAAACTCAATTATGTTATTTGCAGATCATCAACGTGACAATATATTAAGAGCATTTTTAAACATTTAAGTAGAGAGAAACTAGTTCAATGAAATCCTATCTACCCATCACTGAGATTCAGTAGTTAAGATTTTGTATTTGCTTTATATGTCCTTTTTTCTTTATTTTAAAGCAAGCCTTAGATACGTTATTTTGTACCTGTGTACTTAAGTATGCATCTCTCAAAAATGCAGATATTTTCTTATATAGTGACAATGCCATTTATTACAGTCCTCCAAATAGCTAGAATGATAAATAAAAAAAGTTAGCCATATGACCAAGGCCATCAGTTAAGCCTAAAGAAAATTTTCAGCAATTTGGTTTTGATTTCTTAACTGTTCCTTTTACGCATATGGGTGCTTTTCCCAAGTACAGTAATGGCTGACCCATGCTGGCTGAGCTAGATAAAGAATACAGAGGCATGTGGCACCGAAGTTATCTTGGTAGTGAAATGAGCCTCTTGCTAAGCTCCAGGCCACCTTTCCTGACTACCAGTTAAAATCTACATAAAAGCTTTAAATTTTTAAATAGTCCTCTTCTGAGAACTAAATGAAACTCTGAGTTTTAAATAAACTGTGTATTGGTTTTTGAGGTATGGAATCTTTTTTGATGGACTCACAGTGTTAAACTTACCCTTTTTTTTTAAAGGTCTTTGATTTGCGTCAGTGTCACCGTCAGATGCAGCAGCAGGCGGCCACTGCTCAAGCTGCAGCCGCTGCCCAGGCAGCAGCCGTGGCAGGAAACATCCCTGGCCCAGGATCAGTAGGTGGAATAGCTCCAGCTATCAGTAAGTATGCTTTTGATTTTTTTTTAAAGTGTAATAGTTGGCATTTTACCTTGATTTCACTCAGTTGATTAGTTACTTTAAGCAATAATAGAAATTAAAGTTATTTTTACTGGGATAGTAACATTTTTGAATTTGTAGAAAACTGTTCTTCTGTAATAGTTGCCCTTTGTATAGGACCCTGTTTTCATTCTTTTTGTATCAAAAAAGGGAGTATGGGATAAAGGAGAAAGGGGGTTATTGTTATATTATGTTGATCAATCTCCCCTTTTTTTGTTGATGCTTTTAATTCCTGCCTCACCAGCCAGGGTGGGTTGTAATTGCTGACCTGTTTGGCTTTATTCTAGAAGGAAAGCATATTTCAATTTCAGAATTAGGTACCTCTCCAATTTTTTTTTTAAGTATGCTAAGCATGGAGAGAAAACTAGGTGAGGGTGGTATTTTGATAACTTGTAGACTTTTTTTTAATTTTAGGGTAAAATTGAACTGTGTGCCAGGTTTCACACTGATGGGGAATTTTTTACTGCAGAGTTAAACTCCTGACTATAGACTTTTATGATGGAAACACGTGGCACCCATCTTCCACGTCTGAAGGCATAACTAGTGATTCATTCAACCCCTGTTCTTAACCTCTTCAGTGTGGTAAGCAAATCACACTGGCTAAGAAAACTGCAGTGGCCCTGCAGGTTTCTCTACAGTACATGCAAATTCCTCCCATTAGTTTCATTGTAATATTGATGAATGCAGATTGACCATATGACTGTATGTTCTGACTGGAAAATTAGATGCAGAGTCTCCATTTGTGACTTACGTTCAGGAGTTTACAATTTAGAGGTAGATAAGGCATATTCATTTAGAGAATTTGATTTTTTTAAAACTTTGGGCATCTAAACCAGTAATTTGGTAGTTTTGATGTTATAAACATGTTTTTGCTAAGGAATCCAGACTGTTATTAAATTTCTCATTCTCATCGACTGCCCCCATTCAATAATTGCATAGTATCTCTGTTACATTGTGAAACTGAGAGACAGACGTCATCTGGGTCATCCAGGAAGTCTTAGTGGAACCAGTACCGTTAGAACTGTCTTGTTATTGATCATGTCTTACTCTGAACTAGGCTGTTTAGACAGACAGCAAGGTTCTTAGAACCAACCTGTGGACATGTACTATCTCTTAAGAACAAGTTATCACTTCACTCCCACTTCTAAGAGAAAAATAGGTGGGGTGTTGGTGAATTGTGGTAAATTACTTTATAATTGATGATAGCTTAAAGACCCATGTGGAATGTAAATTGTCTTAACCAAAAGTTTTCAGTCCCTGTTGATAAAGTTGAGATCTATACTTACTTCTTGGAACTTTGACAGAGAAGTTATATGCTGGGGAGAATGAAGTAAGAAAGCTGGTCACTTTATTAATGTAAAGTGTAGGGAGGATGGGAAGAGATCAGCCTGTCCCTCTGATGTCTTCCAAATTTTCTCTGTTAGGTTTGTCAGCTGCTGCTGGAATTGGTGTTGATGACCTTCGTCGCTTATGCATACTCAGGATGAGTTTTGTGAAAGGCTGGGGACCGGATTACCCAAGACAGAGCATCAAAGAAACACCTTGCTGGATTGAGATTCACTTACACCGGGCCCTCCAGCTCCTTGATGAAGTACTTCACACCATGCCTATTGCTGACCCACAACCTTTAGACTGAGGTCTTTTATTGTTGGGGCCCTTAACATTATCAGGATGGTGGACTATAAAATACAATCCTGTTTATACTCTGAAGATATAATTCACTTTCGTTCTGCTTTATCTTTTCATAAAGGGTTGAAAAATGTGTTTGCTGCCTTGCTCCTAGCAGACAGAAACTGGATTAAAACATTTTTTCCCCCTACTTAGAACTTTTCAGGCATGACTCAGAGCTTGAAGATTAGGAAAAACACATTCTTATTAAATCTCCACCAGTTATGTATGAGGGAATCATCCCAATGCTGGAAAATATAGTCCTTTAAAATGTCTCAGAGCCTTTTTATGCAGAACATCAATACATGTGTTATTCTACAGAGTAAATTCAATATTGCTGATTTTAAAGACAGAGAAGTTCTCAAAGTTAATTCACCTGTAATTTTGTGTGCAAGTTATTAATGAACATACTTTATCCTAAAATATTGTGCCATGTGGGTGAGTTAATTTTATCAAGAGCAACTTTACTCTGTTTAAAAAATGAGATACTAATGTATTATAACCTTTTATCCAAAGTACTTTTTTTGCAAGATTAACTAGTGAAGATGATTTCAATTCAGATTATCTTGCTACTTTTATTTTTGCCAAGGCAAATAACTAATTTGTATGTATATTGAGAATTCCTTAAAATTACCAGACAAAGAAATATCACTTAAAATTACATTTGTTATCTCTACTGGATAACTTTTATCAAGAAGTATACTTTTGCCCTGTTAGATGTATTCTTCTTTCTAGACACAAGGTTGGTCACTAAGAAGCCTAGAAATTTCTTTGCTTCATTAATTCATAGGGAAAGGTTTTATATTTTAAAAAACACTAAAAGCAGTGTCACTCCACATATGATCTCACTGTTCTGCAAAGGTGGCAATGCTTAAATAATGAGTATTTTGGAAACTGCCAAATTCTGTGTTAAATACTGTGCAGAATAATAGAAACATTACAGTTATTAGTAGGTAGTTTGGATATTTTTGTACTTGATTTAATGTGTGACTTTTTTTCGTATACTGTTTAAATCATGTATGTTATGACATTGTTTAAAATTCAGTTTTTGTATCTTGGGGCAAGACTGCAAACTTTTTTATACCTTTTGGTTATTCTAAGCCCTTTGCCATCAATGATCATATCAGTTGACAGTGACTTTGTATAGAGAACTTAAGTAGAAAAGTTGCAAATGTATTGACTGTACCACAGACACAATATGTATGCTTTTTACTTAGCTAGTAGCATAAATAAAACCGAATCTCAACATGCAAAGTTGAATTCTAGGTTTGATTTTTAATTTTTTTTTCTTTTTGCACTTTTGAGTCCAACCTCAGTGGCAAGACACCTTCTACTAAATGACAGGCAACAGCCAGTACTATTGGGCAGCTTTGGTTTTTTCCCTCACGCTCTCCCAGGACTTCCCCATGGACATTGTGTATCAAGTAGAGTTGGTTATTTTTGAGCTTTCATTTTACTGTAGCAAAAATAGGCCTGATTGTTTACAAGACTAGATGGGTTGTCTACAGGATAAGTAGTGTGACATAAAATCAAGATTATCTTTCAGATGCTTTTACTTTTTACCTGGAGGGCCTTTCTGAATGTAGTAAGATTCTTTAAAGTGTGCTACAAGTTTGAGATATGAGAAACACCTATGCATGATAATCATCCTTCCTTCAGCTTACATGAACAAGTCTTCTACTTCCTTGCTCAGAAAGTCATCTTAATCAGACCATCCTGGAACCAGACCAACCTGGACTGAGTTGGCTTATTGCTGTGATTTAGACATAGATCTTGATCCAAGCTACATGTCTCTTGTTTTTAAAATAACTTCTCTACCAGGTCATTTGTACTCTTGAGTACTTAGAGATACTTTTGTTTAAAACCGAATTTTAATCTGTAAAACTTTGGTGATTTAACTTCTTTGGCAGATTTGAAAAAATGTATCTTCTCTAGAAATTATTGACTGTCTCTTTTACTGTGAATGAAGAAAGGAGTAAGAGGAGAGTCTTTCAGAGTTAACAGATTTTTAAAATCCAGATTATTTCATTAGAACCATAAGCATGCTATGCTATAGTCCGTTGCCTCCTTTTCTGCTTTAAGGAAGGTTTCATGTTTACACATCTGGTTAAAGTGTGGAAAATACTTGCTAAGAAGTCTGACTTTGAGGCCAAGCCACCTATCTTGTTTTTTTTCTGCTAAGAACCATAAAAGCTCTACAAGCATATAAAAGAATTTCTGGTTATCAGTTTTATATTTGTACTAGATTTAGTCACATGCTTTTGAGAAAATATCTAGTATGTTATGGTCAGCTGTTCTGGAGAGCTTAGTTGTTAGTTGGTGTTTCAGTTTCCGAGAGGCAGCCATTTTTGATGAGTAAGACTAAGGAATCACTAGGTTTAAAATTTTACGGCTCCTTTAAGGGTAGAAGAGTTTCAGCAGTTCTTGGAATCTGATTATTATGAGGATATGGTTCTGGGTGGGTTTTCTTAGCAAGTTCATATCTCAAAGACTCTCAGAATATCGAGTCTCCTTGAAAACTTGAGAGAGAAACGAAATACATACCTTTATAATCAGTCTGAGGCCCATTCCACTTTGTCCAGTGCCTTTCAGGGCATTATCAAAAGGAATCCTTAATGGTGTTGCCTTTATTTTCAGGAAGTAGATTCTTTTGTGGAATATAGTCTATCTCATTTTGTGTAGTATACTACTCCTGGTGTAGAAAGGTAATGATACTAAATACTGCCATATACCCTTGTTTTCCCAGAAGCTTGGCTCACTGGTACTGACCTGCCTGGTACATAGGTCTCCCATCCCATTCCTCCTGTAAACATTGTAGGTTTTCAGGTTGGGTGGTCTGACTTAAGGGTAACCATACTTAGAATATCTCGGTAAACTGAATACACAATAGCTTTGTTGTATTTCAAAGCTAAAGGTCCGTTCTTGTGGGAAAGGGTGTGGTGTAAAGGGGGTATTTGTAATAGAAATGTTGAAGGTGAAATAAAATGTCCTGTCTTCCAGATGATAAATACCTTATTTAAAAGTGTATTGCAGTTATCTTTTTGACTGTGGCCATCTGGAGAAGGGAAATAACACATTTTCCCATGGTGCTCCTTAAGTATCTGTGGAGGTTAAAGAATGTAAGGTGATATATGTCTACTCCTAGTTTGGTGGTAACTGGTTAATTGTTAACTAGCTGTGTGTCAATCAGGTAGTTAAGATCCTTTTTGAGAACCTTTGGGGAGAAGCAGTTTTGTTCTGAGTTTGGGTAGAATCCTTTTTGTTGATAGTTTCTATAATTTGCTGCCTTTATCATTAAGTCATTTTTCCAGGCATTTTATTTAACGATTGCAGATTGGGAAAATGGTGAATTTTAGGTCACTGAGGTAAATGAGAATGAATATGAAAGCAATTACCTGTAAAGTCAGTTAACTCATTTGTAGATGGGGATTGACTAAGACTGGCAGATAATAGCATGAAAAAAAATATTTTTTTCAAAGCCCTTTAATACACTGTTTCACTTGATCTTTACAATAACTCTGTGAGAAGGGGTTAGAGAGAAGGAAATCCTTGTTTTCTTCTTTCTAAAGCCAAAATCCATTGCATTGTAGGTAACTATCAATAAATAATTGCCTAAACCATACTTTGCAAGATGATAGAAAACAGGCTGTGATAGTCTTCTGTGCAAGCCTTTCCATTTTTTTCTGACAATTAGATAATTTCTTTTCTCCTGAGATATATCAGGAAGGATGTAAGAAGTTAGCGTCTATTCACAGCAGTGTCCTCCAGCCCAGACTTGACCCAGTGCTACCGGGTTGCTTATCGTGTTTATCTGGTATCACTCTGGAGTGGAATTTTCTGTGTAATCCAAACTTGCCTTATTTAAGCAGTAAAGCTTTTTTATTTTAGCCATTTTTTGAATGGAGTTTTTAATATGTATATCAGAGAACATACTGGATATAACATTTGTAGACTTTAGGGGCTGCTAAGACAGGCAGACTGTTTGGCCTTTGCAAATGGTTATACCCCACTGTGGTGTTGAGTGTTTGGTTTTATATACACACCCTCCAGCCTTCTCCCTTTCTGACAGTGACCACTTCCTACGTGCCTCCCCTCAGTAGTTTCTTCTTCCCTTTCTGATTAATATTTCCACCTGCTTGGGCAAGGAAACCAGATAACCAAACTTTTGTAGAACTTTCTTTAAAACACATGGACAAACTGGGATGGGACCCAAGAAACTTTACTAAGTGTTGAAAAGGACATCAGTGCTTTTGGTGTTTGACATCAGTTTGACTGCTTAGGGGGCTTCCTGATTCCTGCTGTGTTGCAGGTAGTTGAGGTAAAAAGAAGTGAGTCATACTCATATTTTCCCCCTTTTGAAAGGCTTCATTGCTTCCACCTGAATGCTGCTCATACAAAACTGGGCTTTATAAGGGTTACTAAATTAGCATCAGTAGCCAGAGGCAGTACTGTTGCATAGAGGACACCAGCAAATAAAACAAATGAACAACAAAAAACAAACCTTGGAATATAAGAGGGTAATTTTTATTTTGTTTTGGTGTCCCCTTTTGAGCCCTACCTTCTGGCCTTCCTTCTCTATTAGATGTTTTTGACCTGTGGTGCCTTTATGAGAATTGAGGTCTGATATTCTGCCCCAAGGAGTAGCTACAGTAAGTGCTGATGTTTTCAGGGATTTTAATATCAGACTTGAAGAATGACTGAACCTTCTTTCTTTTCTTTCTTCCGTTCTTTTGTTCTGTTTACGTAGGAAGGACTGAGAAAACTCTGGTGAAGACAATCATTTCTCTCTTGATGTGGATAATTTTCACAGTTTACTTAAGATGCTTTCTCAATGGGTCTCAGAGCCAGTGTTCTTGTTCAGCCTGAAACTAGTGGCTCTGGGTGGGGCCAGTAATATTCTCTGGTTTGCACTCTGCCACTAATTTGATGTATGACCTTGGGCAAGTCATTTACCTTCTCTGGGCCTCAGTTGCCTCATCTGTAAAATGGGGGAGTTGGACTAGATAAGTTCTTCCAGCTCTAATCTAAGTGACCTTGCCTACCTTACAGCAATTTTTGATTTCTTTACCTTTGCTCTGCTGTTTGGGAGGCTTTTTACTTATTTCCACGTTATTCAGATGAGACTAGGCTTGATATTTTATTAGTATTCTGTGGACAAGAAGTTACATAATATGTCCTTAAGACTTAAATTTAACCAAAGGCCTAGCACCACCTTGGGGGCTGCAATAAATATTAAAAAAAAAAACTGAGAAGTGGGGGAAAGCCTTCATTTTATTTTCCCATCATCTCTATTCAAGGTTTATTAAGGCAAATTTTTTTAAGTCGCGACATCCTCCCTTTTGGACTGGTATGTGTGTGACACCATCTCGCAAGTGCTATGTACTCATAATTTTCAGCTGCAATGGATTGCAAACCTTAATGATGGAGGTTACTACTTTGGGTCTTTGGTCTCTTAACTCGTATGCTCGTAACAGGGAAATTCCTCTGAACTGCATCAATTAAGGTGGTTTATATGATTCAAGAAAACAATATCAGTGGATGATTATTTACTTTATTCTTGGCTCTTTTTTTGTCCATTTTGATTAGAAGACTGTTGGCTGGATTGTTTCTTTCAGAGTTTTCTTCCAGCCTATCCTTGGATGAGTATAATTAATGCACTTGGCTTTTTCAAGGACCTTGAGAGCCTTCCCTGGGGATGGGTGGAGGGTGGGGTGGGCAGTCCTGGTAGAGGCCAGCTCTGGCGTGGCTGGGAAGGAGGGGCTGAAACCAGCTGCTGTTGCTATGGCTGCTTGTCATTGATAGAAGGACTCATGAGCTTGGACTGGTTAAAAGGCTAAGACATGGGAGTTGACAGACTTCCTCCAAGTACTGAGTTCTGACTGATGCCTTGGACTTGTGATCTAAGGGAAAAGTGTGAATGCTTGTAAATGATGAAAAGCTGGTGGGCTGCAGAACCGTTTGGAGGAAGCGACTGGGGTTTGAGGACAGATTTGGTGGTGGTATTTCCCAACTCTGTCTCCTCCCCTAAAGTCAGAGGAATGCAGCTATGCCAAAACCCAGAGAAGAGCCACACAGCTGCTGCATTTGGGAAAACTGGCCAGCTAAAGCTCCAGTAGTGTTTTGGTGGCTTTCTGTATACTTTTGCCTGATTGAAGTCTGTGGCTAAAAATAGTTGAACCTTTCCTGAGAACTCTGTAACAAAAATATGTTTTTGATTAAAAGAGAAAGCCAATTAAATCATTATGTGCTCATTCTTTTTCTTAAGCTGTGGATGTCTTGGATTTGCAAAGAGTTCCTAATAACTTAGCAGATTCTCAGACCTGAGGGTAACATTTCCCTTCATTGCTTTGTGACCACTGAAATGGGAAATACAGCATTTCAATACGACTGTGGAAGAACAATCCTCATTCGTTTCTCATTTCTAAAAGGAAAGGATGGATGATGGTGGTTGGAGAAGAGGTGGGTGATAGGGTATTATGAAAACCAAGATTCTTGAAGTACAGGTAGAAATTGGAAATTGGAGACCTTGTCACTGCCCATCTAAGGATTAAGGAAAAAGCTGCCTGCTAGCTGCTTCTGTGAAATGGGAGTCACTGTAGGTTGGGAGGGATCTGGGGAGGTGATTCTATGGCCATGGCTTAGTGCAACCAAATCAATATTTTCTCTTTAATCTTGCTGACATAAGTTCCAGAGATGTTACCAGTCCAAGAGACTCATTCTCACTGACCTGAAGTTCATAATATTTTAGACTAGAACTTGAAGAGGGCAGTAGATTAGCATTCTGTTGGGGAAAGAAGTTCCTTTGTGGAGCACTTGAGGATAAAGAGCAATTATGTATTCTTCATCTCTCAGGCCTCTGCTCTTAATTCTTGATTCCTTGTGCTTCATCCCATCTTCTGCCTCATCACAATCCCCATAAATGGCAGCCTCAGAAGTCAAGACATTCACGACTCCCCTTCAAGCCCTTCCTGCCCCCGTCATTTCACTGTGACACATTTCAGGGCCCTTTCCCTTCAACCCTTTGTGTTCTAAAAGAGTAATAGAGAATACTTTCATATTCATAGTCCTGTTGGGCCATCAGTTGGTCTCAGACAGATGGTCAGGATGGGTACACGGAGACCTGAGAATTTGTGGCCAGCAGACCTACCCTAAAAAAATGGCTAAAGGAAGTTTTCTGAACAGAAAGGAGATGATAGAAAGAAGAAAAGTTGGAACATGAGGAAGAAAAACATGGTAAGCATAAATAAGAGTACATACAATAGGCTTCCTTCTCATAATGAGTTTTCTAACTTATGTTTGAAAGTTGAAGCAGCAATTAAAACTAAGCTAATGTGATTCTAAATATATAGAGGAAATATTTTAAACTACTGAAAAATCTACATAAAGAGATACAGTCAGAAAGACTATAGATAAACCAAAATAGAATTCTTAAAAAATGCTTCAGTAACTGAGGCAGGGGGAGAAAAAGAGCAGAGAAAATAAAATGGCAAACTTAAACATATCAATAATTAATGTAAATGGTCTAAATAATACTGGTTAAAAAGACATACCGGCAGATTGGATGAAGAAACATGATCCAACTATATATTGTCTACAAAAACTCCAATCATGATATGGGCAAGTTGAAAGAAAAAGTATGGAAAAATATATCTCAGGTAAACATTAATCAAAGAAAAGCAGTAGTGGCTATGTTAACATCAGATAAAATAGATTTCAGAGCAAAGAAAAATACCACAGAGAGAGAGGGACATTATATAATGATAAAAAGGCCAATCCATCAAGAAGACACAGTAATCCTAAATGTATGTACCGAACAACTGAGCTGCAAAATATGTGAAACAACGGTAGAACTGAATGGAGAAATAAATCTACATCTGTAGTTGGGAACTCCAACACCTTTTTAAACAATTGATAGAAAACTAATAAAATCAAAGCTGTAGAACTCAACACCAACAACCAGTAAGATCTCATTGACATTAATGAACAAGCTTTCCAACAATAGCAAAATAGATACGTTTTTCAAGTGCAAACACAACATATACTAAGAAAGACCATATCTTGGATTGACCCAAGACTCAACAAGTTTGAAAGAATTGACATCATGTATTCTCTGACCACAGTGGAATCAAACTAGAAATCAACAGGTAGCAGGAAAATCTTTTTAACAATTTAGAAACCAAGCAACATGCTTGCAAATAATCCATGGGTCAAAGAGGAAGTATCAAGGGAAGTTTTTAAAAAATGAACTGAATGAAAAATGAAAAACACCAATATATGTGGGATACAGCTAAAATAATAGTGAAAGAAATTTATAGAACTAAATGCAAACAGGAAAATTATTAAATGATAAAGAGGAAAATCTTAAATAATACCCTAAACTTCCACTTCAGACACAAAAACCCCAAGCAAGCAAGCAAGCAAAAGGAAGGAAATACAAATAAGGAGTAGAAATTTATTATAAAGTTGAGACAGAAAACAAATATCAATGAAACAGAGTTGGTTCTTTGGAAAGATCAGTAAAAATCAAACCTGGCAAGACTGACAAGGGTAAAGACACTAATTATCAATATGGGAATGAAACGGTATCACTTCAGATTTTGAAGACATCATAAAGATAAGGGAATAATGCAAATAGCTTTACACACAAATTTGTCAACTTAGATGAAATTGTCCAATTTGCTGAAAAACAAAGTTACCACACCTCACCTAATATGAAATTTTTGAATAACCCTATAGCTATTAAGGCAATTGAATTCATAATTATAAACCCCCACAAAAGAAATCTCCAGTCCCAGAAGGTTTCATGGGAGATTGTAACATGCAAAGAATTAATAACTATGCAGTCTTTTCCAGAAAAATAGAAGAGAGAGGAACACTTCCCAATTCATTTTATGAAGCTAGTATTACCCTGATACAAGACCAAAGATAATACAAAAAAAACACTACAGACCAATAATATCCTTCATGAATATACATGCAAAGACCCTTAAGACATTAGCAAATAGAATCCAGCAACATATAAAAAAAAATTATACATCATGACCAAGTAGGGTTTATTCTAGGAATCTCAGGCTTGGTTCAATATTTGAAAATAAATGCCTTTATATGCCACATCATCTAGCTAAAGAAAAAAATATTTCAGTTGATGCATCTACAAAAATCCTATTGCTAACATACTTACTAGTGAAAACTGAATGTTTTCCACCTAAGACTAGAAACAAGGATGTATGCTCTCATTACTCTTACTAAAAAAGTGCTGAAAGTTCTAGACAGTGTAACAAGGCAAGAAAATAAAAGGTGTACAAATTGAAAAGGAAGGAATAGAAGTCTCTATTTGCAGATGACATGATCATCTCTAGAAAATCCCAAGGAATGTATTAAAGCAACAATGGATAAATAAATCCACTAAGGTTACTGAATGTAAGATTTACATACAAAAGTCAACAGTAGTTTTATTATAAGCAATGTACAATGTACATCTGGACACTGAAGTTAAAATACAATACTATTTATGACTGCTTAAAAAAGCAATACTTATTTATAAGTCTAGCAAACAACTACAGGGTTTATATGCCGAAACTACATATGCTGATGAAATAAAGATCTAAAATGGAGAAACATACAGTATGTTAATGGATTGGAACACTCAAAATAATAGATCAGTTTCCCTAAATTGATATACAGGTGTAATGCATTTCCTATAAAAATCTTGGCAGGATTTTTTTTGTAGATATAGACAAGTTACTGTAAAATTTATGTGGAAAGGCTAAGATAATTTTGATTAAGAATAAAGTAGGAGTAAATCAGACTACCCAAATTCAAGACATTATATAGCTTTAGAGATCAAGATTGTGTGATATTGGAGAGAGAGAGATATAGATCAATAGAACAAAATAAAGAACCAAGAAATAGACCCACAAAAATATGCATGACTGACTTTCGATAAAGGTGCAAAAGCGATTTAGTGGAGAAGAGTTTTTTTCACCAAATGGTGATGGAGAAACTGGGCAGACAGAAAAAAAACCTTGACCCAAGTCTTAAATCTTTAACAAAAATTAAGTAAAAATACAAGACATGTAAAACTTAAAATTATAAAACTTTAAGGAAAAAAGGCGGGATCTAGAACTAAGAAGTTCTTAGACTCGATAACAAAGCACAATCCAGAAATGGAAAATTTGATTACTTGGATTTCATCAAAGTTAAAAGCATTTGCTATGTGAAAGACCCTGTTTGGAAGATGAAACAAGTTGCTGAGTGGGAAGAAACATTTGCAAGCCACATATCTGGTAAAACACTCAAATATATGAGGAATTCTCAAAACTCAACAATAAAAAAAAAAATTCAATTAGGAAATGGCAAAAGACATGAAGTGACACTTTGCTGAAAAGGATACATGGATGGCA